CAGCCGCCGCCCGCCCGGAGCTAAGGCCTCCCCACCCCGCCCCGCGGCCGCGGGTCGGAGGTCACCGGCAGCACCAACGAGACGCTGCGGGCGGGCGGACCCGATCGGGGGCGACCGGCGCGCAGCCTAGAAGGTCCCTTTGGAGGACTTTGCAGTCGGGAACAGGGAGCATGCGCAGACGCCAGAGGGCGCTCCCGGCCAGCGGCTGGGCGAACCTGGCGGGGCGGGGCGGAGCCTGGGGCAGGGGCGGGGCTAGGGGGCGGGGCCTGGGGACCAGAGGCGGGACCCGAGGTTTCTACTCCTGGGATCCGAAAGTGGACGGAGGTGGAGGAGAAGCACAAAGATGAGGAAGGGGTCTGAAGGGACGGAAGGGAGAGGGGTAGGACGAGGGACCCCGGAAAGGGGCTGGGGACAAGGGGGAGGAAGCTGGGACGGTGGGGACACACAGAGGGGCAGGGCCAGGAGACCAGAGGGAGGGTCTGGGGGCGTCGTCTCTGGAGGCTCCCACAGGCGTTCTGTTCAGCTAGTGGCTGAGGACCTGGCATAAATGCGGCTGCCGGGTGTCTGCTCCGAGCCCAGGGGCGCATGGTCCAGGCACCGAGAGGGGGCAGTGGAGTCTGCACACTTTCCACCCCGTGATCCCACAAACGCTTTCCTCAGTCTGCAGCTCCAGGCCCCTCCCCGAACTTCCCGCTCTACCATCCCGGAGGGGCGGGCAGGGGCTGCAGGGGCCATGGGAGAGGAAGGGCCGCGCTCCCAGGGCGGGCAGAGGCGGGCGCTGAGGCCTCGGGGTGCGCACCGGGCGAGGGGCTCGACGGCGGGGTCTGTCCAGAACGGCCCGGACACCGGCGCGCAGCAAGGGTGAGACCCCAGCGGAGTCCCTTCTCCTCCCGGAAACTCCCAGTAGCCAGACTTCGCACCCCAGCGGACTCGGGCACCACACCACGTCCTGCCTCCGGGGTGGGCCCCGCGAAGTCCAAGAGAAACTTTGGGGATCGGTCGAGAGGGCACTTGGCAGGACCGGACACTTCTCCTCCCCTTCTCCCTCTCTCTGCCCCGGGAAACCTTCCCATCCCTCTCCCTCCCCGGTCCCTCGGCCGCTCAGGCTCTGCCCTTCAGGGCGGCGGTCGGTCGGGAAAAGAGCGCCTGAGCCCGGTTGCACCTGCGCGGGGGACCGGAGAGGGCGTTTAGCCTTGTCTCTTATCTGAGGGAGAAGGGGGAGGGGAATTCTGGAAGGAATCAGCATGTTAGTGGTGGGGTCTGGCGCTAGGTGGAGGTGGAGTTAGGCCGCCCTGGGAGGGATGGAAGGGTGAGGGCTGAGGGCTGATTTCTGAGCGTTGTTTCTGTGTGGGACAATTTCATGCAAACTAGAACTAACCTGGAAGAGAGGGTGCAAGTCATCTTCTGGGACCCCGGACGCCCCGCCTTCCTGTGCCCACCCCTCCCCCCAAGCATCTCGTGCTGCCCGGAGTAGGGGCAGCACTGTTAGGGGAAGGGGATACTCCTGGCCCTGAGTGTGAACAGCCCATACTGGCCACCTTCCACAGGAAATGACCTGAGGGACAGAACAGGAAGGAAGCAGACGGGTGTGGAGCCAGGAAGCAGGGAAGGGTGGCACAGGACATCTGAAGGGGGGCTGCGGGGGACTCAGGGCTAGGAAGCAATATAACTGTTATAGTTTAAACCCTGGTCCTGATCCAAAAGCTGGGTCTTACAGAGGCCAGGGATTGGTGACCGTCCTCCTGTGCCCAGCGGCCTTCAGAATCAGTCATAGCTCTCAAAGGCAACCTTCTCCCAAAGCTTCCCTTGGCCTTCTAATGTGACCTTGGGCAAGTTAATTAACCTCAGTTTGTTTCAACAGTAAAATGGGATAATAGAAACTACCACATAGGATTGTTCTATGAGGATGAATTATGGTATATTATGTAAAATGCTAGAATAGTCCCTGGCACAGAGTAAACGTTATAGAAAAGTTTGCTCTCGTTATTTTTCTTCCTAAGGTGCTGTGTATACCTTCCCAGATCTCCCGTCCCATTCTGCCTGGTTTCATCTCTGTTTACCCACTAGACTATGAGCTCCTTGAGGGCAGGGAGTCACCCCCCACCCCCAAGATACTGTGGTCATACCAGGGCTTGCCCAGAGAAGGGCTGAAGAGATGGGCTTAGAATTATCCAATGAAATTGCCACTATCCATAGAAGATAGAAGCACAAGATTTTCCTCTGTCCTCGAGGAGTTTATAGACTAGACGAGGAGCTGAGACAGGGAGCAAAGAGAAACATTAGGTGCTAAATCTTGGGGCTGGGGAGGTGAGGAAGAAGGGTCCAGTCTGCCCAAAGGCTTACCAGAAAGGCAAAATGCTCTCTCCTTCCACTATGGGCCACCTCTTTCCTCCATCCCAATCTTGGGAGACCCCAGAGTATGAACTTCAGAAATTCTGGAGCAGAAAGGCCTGGCCTCAAGATCTGGCTCTGCCCCTTACTAGCTGTGTGACCTTGGGCGTACCATTTATGCTTACCGAGCCTCAGTTTGGCTATCTGTAAAATGGGGACAAGAATACACCTAACTCACCTGGTGGTTGGGAGGATTGAATGGGATAATTCCTGTGGAACACTTAGCTCTGCCTAGCACATTGTAAGGGCCCAATCAATGAGAGGTGTTCTTGTTTTCTGGGCAGACTTTGCCACCAATGTCAGTGCTGAACTCTGGCTGGCCCCACCGAGGGGAGAGACTCACTCCCCTGGAGCCAGGTCCACCAGCCAACTCAGACAGCGACCCAGGCCACCTGTTAGAGGAGGACCCTGAGGAGACCTCTGCTCAGGTAGTAGGAGTCACTCCTTCCCTCTGACACCAACATGTCCTCCATCCTTTGGAACTCCTCCCATTCCCACCAACACCTTTGTGCCCAACGTCTTGTGGCCCTATGCAGGAATCTGTGTCTCTACAGCCCCCTCAGGATATGGGGGTTTGACTTTAACTTATTCACATGAATACACATTACCTCTCCTAGGGGCTCTGTGTTGTCAAGGCTGACCCTTGGGGCTTTGGCCCTAAGGAGCAAAGGGGGTGATTTCAAGCATCAGAAGGAAAGCTGTTTTGGGGTGTGGGGTCTCCCCAACCTCCTTCTATCAGACCACAAATGCAGGAGTGGATCAGCTGTCCTTGAAGGAGGATCCTCCAAATGGAGGGAGGTGCTTGGAATTTGTTCTAGATTGGAGAAGAGGTGGCAATGAGGTGGGGAGGGAAGAAGGAAAAACCTAGCTCCACTCCTCTCCCTCTGCTGTGTCTCCTCAGGATCCTGAAGTTCTGAGCTTGGGTCTCTCTGGCCTGGACACCAGCCGAGCGCTCAACTGGCCTCAGCTTCGGACCCTCCTGCAGCAGCTCCCTCCACAGGACAGCGATGTGGGTCTCCCTCTGCCCAGCTTCCCTCTCTCTTGCCTCCCTCTCTTTACTTACTGTGGGAAGAACCTTGGTCCAGAAGTCAGGGGACATGGGTTTAAGGCCTAGCTATGCCGCTCACTGGGGGAAGTCACCCCGCCACACACCCAGCCTGAGTTTTCACATCTACATAATGGGTGCAGTAACATCTGCTCTGCCCACCACAATGGTTAGTTGAAGAGCAAATGAGAAAATGTACATGAACGACTTTTGAAACTGATAATGGAATGTACAAATGTAGAGAGTATGGTTGTTAAATATTTATTGAGGCCCTAGACGTCCCCAGCCTAAAGGCTTACAATTCCATTGGGGAGGCAAGACAGAATATGGAATAAATAGGGTAAACACAATGGGAAGTGATATTGAGCTACAGCCCATTGGGAGCAAGGATCTAAATATATGGTGACAGGGCTAAGTGCTGTGGGGCTGTCAGGACCTGAGTGATGATCATTCTTGGGGGAAGTGAGACTTTTCCCTCTCCTTCTCAATGGCCTTCTATGCTGTTATCTCTTGCACCTCCTTGAGGTTCTACAACCTTCCTTTGACCCAGCAGCTAAGCCTTCTCTCTCCGATCAGTCTTCAGTCTTGCCTGCTGGGGCTCTCCCAGTCACAGTGGGGGCCTGTTTCCGCAGGAGCGCTACTGCCTGGCCCTTGGGGAGGAGGAGCTGGCGGAGCTGCGGCTCTTCTGTGCCCAGCGGAGGCGGGAGGCCCTGGGACAGGGGGTGGCCTGCCTGGTACCTCCCAAGCTAAAAGAACGCACCTGTGAGAAGGTATGTAGTCCCCCCACCCCTCAATATTCCTCTTCCTCCACTCTTTGCCCTCTCACTTCTGCAGAAGGGGCTAGATTCTGGTACTGTGGTGGGAGAAAGGGGTTTGGGGATTGACAGTTTGGCAAACTTGAGGATGAAGGGAAACCAAGTTGAGCGGTTCTTGGTGGAGCCTGCACTGGAGGTGGGCTTGCCAGGGGTATGGGGAGAACAGTTAGGTTGGGGTTGGGATGGAAGAGCCAGGAGGGAAGCTAGGAGGGTGGTGACGGCTCTCATCAGCCCAGCACCCCCGCCGGCAGTGCAGGGAGCGACTGAGGCCAGGGGAGTATGGAGTGTTCGCAGCCAGGGCAGGAGAGCGGCGCTGCTGGCACCAGGCTTGCTTCGCCTGCCAGGCTTGTGGCCAGGCCCTGATAAACCTCATCTACTTCTACCACGATGGGCGTCTCTACTGCGGCCGTCATCACGCCGAGCTGCTGCGGCCGCGCTGCCCTGCTTGTGACCAGGTACAGCCCCGAGGGGAGGGGTTGGGGGATCTGCCCAGGGTCCAAAGTGGCAGGATGTAAAGAGACACCTCTCCCAGTGCCGCGGAGTGGAGTGCGGAGAACTAGGGACCAGCCCGGGACCCCTGTGTTCCCTGTGCTCTGACTTGAGCTCTGGGCATGTGGGACCCGTTGCCTTTGTGCCCTCCCCCACCGCAAGCAGAGTCCCCCAAATTCTCCTGGACTGAGAGAATTTCTCCGGGGCAGGGATTCTTGGACAGACGTTCATCTCCGTATGCCGGGTGCCAGTGCTGTGCCTGATCACGCGAGGAACTCCCTTCATGTCAGCATAAGCGGCAGCGAGGCACCCTGGGCGGGAGTCCAGGAGGCCCGGGTCGCACTTCCGGCCGTGCCACCTGCTAGCCGGGGGATCCTGGCTAAGCCAATCAGCCCCGCCTGAGTCCGCGAGTGGCTGAGTAGATCAAATGGGAATGTCTGTAGACGTGCTTTAGCGTTAACTGGGTATAAGGCGTGGTTATTGGATGAATGAATGAGTGAATGAATGAATGAGCCGTTCCCCTCTCCCTCTCCCAGCTGATCTTCTCCCGGCGCTGCACTGAGGCGGAGGGACGGCGCTGGCACGAGAACCACTTCTGCTGCCAGGACTGCGCCGGGCCCTTGGGCGGGGGACGTTATGCCCTGCCGGGGGGCGGCCCCTGCTGCCCCAGCTGCTTTGCGAGTCGCTATTCGGACGCCGGCTCGAGGCGGGCCCCGACACTGGAAGGAAGGGCGTCCCTTGGTAAGGGAGGAGAATTTGCAGATCAAAGGCAGCGGCTTGGAGGAACCCCCCTGGGCTGAGGAGGGGGTTCTCCGGAGCTGGGACCCTCGCCCCGATCCCACGGCGTCCCGTCCCTCCAGCAGCTCCCCCATCCCCCCCACCGTACCCCCCAGACCCGAGTCTCGGGGCCCGCAGCTCTCACCGCGCGTCCCTGGCCGGAGCGCTCCAAGGGCCTCCCGAGCCCACCCCGCGCCGCGGTCTGCGGCGCGGGACTCGCTCCCGGACTGGGGCCGCGGCCGCCCCCTGGTGGGCGGAGGCGGGGAGGGGCGGGGGAGCCGAGAGAGGACTCGCCGCGGCCGCGGCGTCGCGCACGGCCCGGGGGCGGGGCGGGAGGCTGGGCCCCAACTGGGCCGGGCTTGGGGGGTTCGCCCCGCCCGGATCTGGGGGAGGGAGACTCGGGGCCCTGAGATGGGCGTTTCTGACCCGCCCGGAACAGAGGAGGCGGCGCTCGACAGAGTCGAAGGAGGGGATCGCGCTCCACTGACCGCCGCGACCTTCTCCCGAGCAGCCCTTGTCGCCGCTGCCGCCAGCTCCAGTCCGGAAACCCAGAGCGGGCTGCTTGGGTCCAGCCCGGAGCAGGAGTGCCGAGCTGGGGACAAGGCAGAGGCACTCAAAGAGCGGGAGCAGGGCGGCCTGGAGTTGCCCCTTGATCCCAAGGAGGATGCCCCCTGCCCCACCTGCTCCTCTTCCTCTGACTCTGACCCCGAAGACTTTTTCTTAGGCCAGCGCCTTCCCCGGCCCTGGAAGACCCCCGGAAGCCTCCAAGCTGAAGAAAGCGACACTTCCAGGAAGCATTGCACCATTTGCTAGTGGCGCAGCCTGGAGAAGGGCGAGTGGGGGGGTGTGATCTGTAAGGCGGGAGAGCGAGGCTATAAAAATCCTAGACTGAGCGCAATCAGGGGCACGCCTGGGAGAGGCGGCGAGATAAACTTGGAGTGCCACCTCTTCAGCCAGCGCATTCTGTGACTTTTGATGCAGAATTCTTGGGGAACCCCACTCCCCAAAGCTACGCATCCCCTGTGAGCTAGCCCCTATCCCCTCGCCCCTCAGGCTGGGACAGCCCCATCCCCAGCATTCTCCTCCTGGGCCAATGAAGTGATCACTCAGACACCACGTGTGGCGGTGACCGGCTTGGCGAGCCGAGGGCCTGGAGGGAGCCGGAGGTGGAACGGGACCAGGGGACGGTAGAGCGGGGCCGTGCTCCTCCCCTTGCGGAGTCGTGTACGCGCAGCCCGAGTTCTCCCTCGATCCTGGGCGTCGGACCAAGCTCGGTCAACGGCCCCCGCTGCCGGCCGGCGCTGGCGGAAGTGGGGGACTGGAAGTTGCGTGAATCTCCGGCGCCGACTCGGTGCGTCCTGAGAGGCCTTGCGGAGCCCGCAGTGGTACTATGGCTTCCAGCGGCGTCGGCGTGAGCGCTGCCGGCTCGGCGAATGCGACTCCCGAAATTCCGGACAACGTGGGAGACTGGCTTCGGGGCGTCTACCGCTTCGCCACCGACAGGAATGATTTCCGGAGGTAACCGAGGCCGAGGGCTGGGTCCCTGCCGTATTTCCCTTTGTCGAGGCTGGCGCCTCCGGGATTTTTACACCGCCAGCCTCTTGGCCTCTTAGTGGCTCTGGTTGTGCTTTGCTGAGGTCCTGGGCCGGACAGCCCCCGGGCTATGTCTAGATAATCTCACCCTGACCCGGCGGGGAGGGGAGTGCTTTTCGGCCCTGGACAAGTGCTGGATCGGCCTTTGTATTTGATCCTGCTCTTCGGAGACACAGAAGCCAACTCTAAATAACCATGTGGGTCTTGGGCAACCTACCATATAACGATCAACGCTCCTGCACTTCTGGAACGGTGTTTTTGCCTCCGGGGGGTTTTTCTGGGGTGGTGATGGGAAATCTTTTTCCCCCAGTACCTTTCGCTAGCCAAAGACAGGTGACTCAGTGACCACAGGGTTAATGGAATACATTCTTTTTCTAGGAACTTGATCCTCAATTTGGGACTTTTTGCTGCAGGAGTTTGGCTGGCCAGGAATTTGAGTGACATTGACCTGATGGCACCTCAGCCAGGGGTGTAGCCAGATAGGTAAGCACTTAACCACTGCTCTGCTTGTCCTAGGAGTCCTAGAGGCTGGGAGAAGCACTAACTTATATCATCTGTTCACAAAATATAGGAAAGAGACTTGACATAAAACCCTTGGGAATCTCCTAGTTAAATGTTTCCAGATGTTGCAAGGGACTTGAATCTCTTACCAGTTCCCCTCCAGTGCTTTTACATTTCTAATGCCACCTGTTGTCCTGTCATCTGATTGCAGACACATGGAACCCCTGTGCTGTACTTGAACCTTCCAAAAACAGATCATCCAATCTGTGACCATCACAAGACTTGCCCTGATGGCAGCTGAAGTTTGATTCAGAGGGGCACCATCCGTTCCCTGCCTGATTTCCTTTTCTTCACTGGGTCCACTCAGAACTCCATTCTCTGGTCAGCAGTCAGGCTTCAGCTAAAGTTCTGTTCTGAAAAGTTCTGTTCCTAAGTTTCTGCAGGGGGTGATCTTTTTGCTCTTGTCTTAGGGCATAACCTAATGGTATTTTAATAAATATTTGAAATAAAGACTGCACACAAAGACAGCCATTTTATTCTTTTAATGAGAAACTTCGGCTTACAAAAACAAGGTGTAAAAAGTCAAGATTTACAAAAAATCATAAAAACATGATTTATATTTCACACTCAAAAGAGACAGGAACAAGGCCCAAACATGGATTGTAACAGAAGTGGTTTGCTTCATAATAAAAGAAAGACACGAAACTGTAGCCACCATACATTGACGTTAACATAGGATGAAGCTTATTCTGGAGGAATTTCCACTTTTGAGCAGTACTAGGAGAAGAAGCTATTTGGTGTTGCATAGCATTTTAATGTACCAGGTGGGTTTTCCAGGCACCAGGGAGGCAGTGTTGCTGTAATAGGGTGAGATTTTTTTTGGTGGAAAGAGGGCAGTGATGTGCAGATGGAGGCAAGACATAAGTAAGCCTAGGCAGTGGCACTAAAGTGACACTGCTTGAGGAAGCTGCTTCCTTCACAAGGAAATAGACGTTTTCTGACCCTAAAATTCATGGTAGTGGGACTGTCCAGGAGTTTGGGGTTCTTTGGAAATGGAATATGTAAGGAACTGGCATGGAAAGACTCATGTAGGTTTAGAAAGATGTGGAGATAGAGACAGGTTCCCCTTGGCAATTTTTTTCTAGTTGATTTACTTCTACTTGTTTTTCCTGCATTTTTAAAAATACTGCTTTTCAGTGCCAAGTCTCCTGTGGAACTGGTATGAGATTAAAGGACATGAATTGAAAAGGAGGGTCAGTATAAATGCACCACAGTGGCCTAATTGTTACAGTTGGCAGATGTTGCTAGCAATCTGCTCACTAAAGGTAAACAGGACAGAATAGTCCTTCTTGACCTTGCCAGCATAAATCTTGTTAAGAAAGCTGAGAATTCGATTTATATATATAAAAGCACCATTCTAAAAAGCACCATTCTCTTGTGAGTATTAATCAGGTAGGTCTCATCTGTTAGGAGGAAGGAGTTGGAGCTTGTGTGAATTCAGGCCTGTGGCTTGCTTAACATGAAACCAAGATCCTTTAGGAGTCTACACTGGGACCACAGATGATCTGACAGGTTTATATCTTACCAGGTGTTAAGATGAGGAAAGTTCACATACATGAGAGCCAGGCTTAGGTTTGAAGTCATCACCCTCCAACTGGTGACCAGGAAGGAAACTTTTAGGCCGTAGCATAGATTCTAAGCCCCTTCAGACCTGCATCAGACCCTGCTAATACAAGAAATACCAGCACTTCCTGTTCTTTATAGGAAGGAAACTTACATCCTTGAAGTCTGCTACCCAATCTACTCATAATTGTAAATAATTCTATTTGGTAAAAATTTTCAAAGTTGAAAATCAAAATCCAGCAAAAATTAAGACATGGCAGCTTCCAAAAGCATAATTCAAATTTCACTCAAAATTTAATGTTTTAGCTTCAAGTAATAGTGTTTACTGTTGGTTGGTTTATAAAGCCATAATGCTGGTAAAGTTAAGTCTCATTTAAACTGGCTTAATTCCTCAAAGTGATAGGAATTTAGCAAATAAAGCAACCAAATCTACAATTTCCAAAAATATTGCTAATTATTCTGTAAATGAAAGTGCTGGCTTTCACCATTCTAACACATAACATTCTCCCCAAGGGAAGCCAGTTTTACATTCTGTTACAGTTTTCAGGCTAGTTAACACAGTGCTATGAAAATCTCTTACACTACCTACTTAGATTTTAAATGGAAACATGCCAGCAGAATTAAGTATGGAAAAGAGTCCACAAAAAGGAGGATTTGCCTTAATGCTATAGTAGCTATGGTGTATTTAGAGCAATGTGTGGGTTGAACGACTACACAGTGGTTAAAGTCAAAGCCTTAGACCAAGAGAATGGTTAATTTAAATGTGGAAGATAGAAACTAGACTCAGAGTCATATTCAGAAGGCGCTTTTCAGCTTTAGTGCTGACTTCAAAAAAGAATCTGAACCACCAGGGAGATGCATACTTACCCGGTAAAAAGCTAAGTGGCTATGGGAGGTTTTACTCCAAAGATACAACCTCCTTACCTAATTAGGCCAGTAACTAGGCTGAGGGACACAATTATCAAATGTGCTCTGAGTGGTGAGCTTTTTAAACAGCCTTTGGTGAAGTCCCATGAGCTCAGTGGAAACTTTAAGGTCAGAGTAAAAGGAACATGCTGTAAACAGTCTTGCAGGTGAGCAAACGGGGTCTTATCCCCTTTCACAGCCACTCAACACCACAGCAGTCAGCACATGCTGGGGAAAGGGGCTGGGGGCTGTGACAAGTTCTTTGAGCCTTCTCTTTTGCATATTACACAGTGTACTGGCTTGCCTTACAATCTAAAGGTTCACATATAGGGATTGTGTTCTATACTGCTTCCTGAAATTTTGTGCAAAAGAACTTCAAAATTAATGAAGGTACCACTTCAGGAGGAACCGGTTTTGACTTCTACCATAAGTTGCCCAGCATTAGAAAAACTAAAAGGCCTTTCCTGAATGTTTGTGCTCTCCCAACCAGCTGGAAAAGCAACCCTTCCACTCATAAGATGTAACCCCAGATAGGGATGTAGCATATGTTTAGGAAGGGGTAGCCCTCCCAGCCTGATTTGAAAAGGCCTGAGTTAATGTTTGGAACATAAAAGGGATGGTGAAAAAGAATGGGGCACAGAGTCTGACTGAAAAGCAGCCATTTGATGAATAATCACAAATACAAAGATTTTGGACATTACAGTACAATTTCAGAACTTGCTGGTAAGAATAATTTGCTTTCACACACAAGAGATATGAAATGCTTTAAAAAAAGTCTGATACCAAATGTCCTTTACACTATACAGACCCATTTGCCATTTGAAATGACAAGAAGGAATCCCTTCCCTTAATCTTTTCAATCCCATGCAAACCATAATTGGGTACAAGGCACCAAATTTTATGAATTGTATAAAATTAGTTCACAAAGCTTTATCAGTAAGTAAAACAAACTCCATTTCTCCCTCCCTGCCTGCCCACCCATATCCCACCCCCCACCCCCAACCAAGTTTTCATTCTGCACTACTGTCGACCTCTCTGGGGCTTATGCTGGGGCCTGGCTGGGGCCATGCCCCACGGCCAGCCAACCCACCTCATCAGTTCTTGCACTTGGATGGAATGGTAAGCATAGCCAGAGTAGGGAACTCATACAATCATTGACTCGAGAAGCCTTGCCATTAAAAACAAAAATAAACTCTGCTATTGAGTCCATAGGACACATTAACACTTCTACACTTTCCAATTTTATTCAGGACATTTTAAGAGACATCTGGAAATTCGTTACAGTGTGGCGCTGCCCCCCTCAGCCTCAGGGGGGCTGGGTCTAAGCTGGTAAGAGCTCTGCCCATCATTTAATAAGAGCTTCAGTTCCTGGCTGTTGAGGGCATTCCTAATTTTTTTTACACTAGCATGGATGCTCATGTCAGGCAACCACAAGTATGAGGGTCAAGCTAGACTGAGGTAAAAATCCTTTTTGAGGGCCAGGGTGCATTCATCTTGGCTGGTTACAGCAGAAAGTAAACACACCAGCCAGCTGCAAAGGGTTCCTGGAACAGGACTCTAACTACTTGTCTGGGAGAGAAGCAGGCCCGTAAGGTTCAGTTAGGAGATCCTGGGTGTGATGTGGCAGCATCTAGTGAACTTCCACATGGTTCTTATTTTCTTCTCTTTAGAATGTTTCAATCTAAAGTAAGACGCAACTAAGAAATTCATCTACTTCCAATATGTAAATAAATTAAAGGCAAAGGGACACTTCCCTCACAACAGCCATTGGCTTATGCAGCAGGGAACTCTTTTAATAAAAATCTCCATAAATACTAACTTTTCAACAGCGTCTAGTGCTGCTGCCTCTGGGTACCTGAGGGGTCTGTGACTGCAGGGGCACCTTCAAGAGTGTGCAGCTCAGTGAGGACTCTGATATTGATTTTTATTCCAACTCATTTTAAACAATTTTATTAATTTGATACATGGGTGCTCAACTAAGTTAAGCACTTATTTTACAAAGTCCTTAATCTGCTTAATAATCCTTATAATATTTGGTATAGAACTATTTTTTAAAATTAAATTTGAAGATCTTTAATTTTTCATTAAATTTTTTTTAAAGTATTTCCCCCTGGATAGCCTGAGGGATGAAGTAGATGCTCTATTAGTTCTCCATTTGTAAGTTCTCTTTTCCTAGAATAATAAATATATCAATGAAAGATGAGGCACAGTTTATATTTTCCTTTCCTTTTTACTCTCCTTGGTTTTTTTGAGTTAATGGGCTTTTCTATTGCCACAGAAAGTCATCACCAATCACGTTGACTTAAAAATGTGGATCTAGAGAGCACAGCTTCACATCAGAGCCTCTGGCAGCATGGGCAGCTATGACACTTTAAAACAGTGTCCAGGAGAGGGTGAGCCCCGGTCAAGCTTGTACAAAGAAGCCTGCAGTAGACAATATAAACCAAACAGCATAAAAAATGCCATACGCTATCGCTTCCAAATAAAAGCTAAATATTACAGAAACCTCACAGTGTTGGAAAAAGCAAGTTTAATTTAAAATATAGTCACTCCCCCTTCCTTATCAGGGTGAGCCATTTTCTGTCTGAATTTCCTCCATGTCTCAGTGCTATCTGGCAGGTCCTACGGGAGAGTTCATCTCAAAAGCGGTCAACAGGAGATGCTACAGATCTGCTTGGGAAATGTGGCTCGTCAACATCACTAAAGCTATGACCCTTAATCTTTAGCCTCTTTTCCCAACTTCCCACTCCTCCCCAAACTCCCTTCCATATCTACTCCCTTCAAGTGACAACTGTACTTCTACCTGAATTGAAATATTGTTATGATATACTCAGTCAAAAGATAAGCATTCATAGTGACAGGCTGAGGCCGACTGCAGCAACCCCGACAATGAGAGTTATGGTTTGCATTCACCATTACTGGCGAGTCTAAGTGAAGGATTGAGAAGGGAAATTCAGTAGTGCCTAATGGGGAGGAGGGTTTTCATTGGAACAATCTCATTCCACTTAGAAACTGACCCAGTTTTAAAAGAAAGATATATTTTACTAGCACTGGAGTAAAGGACAGGGCACTCTTGCTTTTCTCTGATGGACTGAGTGTGGTTGGGTAAAGAAACACTAGGGATTTTCAGATTTGGGAGGAAATAGGCCAGGGCCATCAGCAATAAACTGCTCAGAAATATAAAGGGCAGATTCCTAAGCCGTAGGAAAGCAAAAGCTCCCAAACCTGTGGTGAACAAGAATATTCTAGCCCTCCAGGTGCAAGAAAGAAGCTACAGGCTAAAAAAAGCTGCATGCTGCACCAAGATGAGAATGGGTGATAGGCATTCACATAAGCCCTGGACCACCGGCTATCCCTGCCCACCCTCAACTGAGTTCTGAGAAGGCCTCAGACAGCTGACCTAAAGACCAATTTAAACCAAACCCTAGACCTTGACCTGACCTGAACCAGGGATAGAAGTGGGTAGCCAGGAGTGCCCTTAGGCTCAAGCTTGCAACAAAGAACACGTCATGTACCAGTTTATTGCTTCCCCATCTGAACTGCTCCTTCCTTAGAATGAAGGGATGTTCGTGCCAGTCTCAGAAGACGTGGAATGATTAAATCTGTGACAGCAGCAGCCAGGGAGGGTCTGACACGTGAAAAACCTCCCATTTTACACAGGGAAATTTGCTTCTTGCATCGCATTCCACTCTTCAACCGCTATCCCCTACAAAAGGAAGTCTGCAAGTTTTCAACACTTGAGGGTTACTTCCTTTGTAGGAACAAATCCTTAGACTTCACCTCCCGCCTTGGAACCAATCCCATCCAGCAAGCTGCCAGCCCAGGGCCCCTCCTCACGTGCTCTGTCCAGGGCTTCTCACATCAGGAGGGTTCTTCTGGAGCTGTAAGCAGGTCCTGATTAGCAGGGGAATCACAGAATGGAAAGAAAACATGGCTGCTCTCCTGGCTGGTATAATCAATTTACACCCTTTTTCTTCCACCCAGACCCCTCTATATTCAAAAGCAACTGGTGAGAGAATCTTCATAGAAATTACTCCTTTTGATTTGTTTTATCAAAGGAGAGAATTTCCAAATGCATTCAAAAGAGACTACAAATTTTATGATAGAACACGAGTCACCTGGCACCTTCTGCTCTAGACCCAGTGAGGCAAACCTAGTTATCTGTTCCTGCAGTAAACCTTATTTCCTATAAGAGGAAAGATGTATGGACACCAATAGTTTAAAAGCAAGCCAGTCCTTGATACGTGCCTCCCAATCAGGGGAAGGTCCGTGATCTGCCCTCATCGTTGTTGCTGGACTGCACCTGAGCTTGGAGTTGGGTTTCTGAGATTCTTGCATTGCCCTGAACTGTTCTTTGAGTGTAAAAAAGGATGTAGGCTTGAGTTTTGCACACTTCCTCGACACTGCATACATTCAGCTTTGAGTCATTGCAGTGGACCCAAAAACCTAGGAAACCAAAGGAAAGAGAGAAAATGACTACCCAACTTATATTTCCAGTCAGCAGGCAAAACCAGGAGATGAAGAAAGGGACAGAGGAGTTCTGAATAGAGCTAACCCTTGATTATTGGTGGTGGGAGAAGAGACAGTAAATGAAACCAACAGACTCCTGTAACCACTGGCTTTGACCCCACCAAACTCCACAATACTGCTTACAATACTGACTGACTGTAATTTTTGTCCTCATTTTATTCAGGCTTTTTCATTGCCCATTAGGGCCTTCTACAAAGACAGCCAGGAGACTGGGGGCTAAGAGATGGAAAGAGGAGGAGGAGGAGAGGGGAAATGTAAACAGTGATAAAGGAAAATTTAGAAGGAATAAAAAATTATTTGTGCATAGGCTCCCCCTGGCTGCCCCAAGGGCTGAGGGGTTAAGATCGGGACACCACTGAAGACATCCGCAGCCCACCCGCCTCAGTTCAGTAGCTGGGAGGCTCCCTGGGAGGGGGCCTTGTATCCCCACCTCCCCCATGGTGAGGAAGGTAGCAAGGACGTAGTAAGGGCTCAGTAAATGTCCTCAGCTTTAGTATGAGCTGAGGCTAGTGAGATTCCTACACCATCTCCATGGGGTCAGATAGGTCATGTCGTTTCTGCATAACCAGGAAGGGAACTGAGGTCTGCAGCAGAAGTATTAATAATAACGATAATCTCAGACATAATTGAGCATTATGTGCCAGGTACCATGCTAAGCACTTTCACATGTGTCAGTTCCTGACAATTCTTGGAACAATCTTATGTTGTTACTTAGTGATATATCCAAAATTTGAATACAACTTTCATAATTCTTTCCACTGGAGTTTAATGTATATAATATCCCCTTATAGATGAAATAAAAGGAAAGCAATGAAATGTGGACAAACCAACCCTTTTCCGTGTCCCCCACCCCACAGAGTAAAGCGCACGCACCTCCCTCTGTGTTGTAGCAATAGGCTGTGTAGTGTCCTGAGCCAAACCCTTTCCCGTGATGCATGACCACTGCGGAGAGATCATAGGCAAAGGTCTCTTTGTCAAGAGAGGAGAGCATGTCCCTGCAGCAGTAAGGTTCCATGGTTAATACCTGGTCAAAGACGACATGGACCCCAATCTTCTCTCGATGATTACGGCCAGACCACCTAGAACATGGATATAAACTTCTTACTAGTCAAAAATGGCATATGTGATCATAGGTAGAGGTAGGTAAAACAGGGAACTGAGAAAACCTTCTGGCTTTGGTTTTCACATCACTAAAACAGTGGTGACCAATGTCCACAGGTTTCCTGTGAATGTTCCATGATGTATCCTGAAACTAGAAATTTCTATAAACAAGCAATTCAGGCAATAATCTTTTTGTAGTTTTACTGCCTGCCCTTCTTTTCACAGATTATCTCATACTTTATTCTGAAGATGACTCTATATAAGCCCAAGTGAGGCTAGAAAATCTTCAAGCACAGATACCCAGTGGAAGCCAGCCAATTACACAGGGCCACGAGTGCAGAAGCCCAGTTCTGCAGGGCCCCAACATCAACCTGCCTCACTGGGCGTGAAGCACTTAACCTCAATGGAACATGCAACGTGTCTGGGGAACAGGCTTCCCCTCCCAATACCAAAGAAGACATTTGCCCTCACCAAAGCCTTTGAAGCAGCTATTCCCATAGCTCACAGCCACATGGGATGCCCCAGAGCAAGCTCACCTGAATCTTTTAAGGTGCAGCCGGAGGACCTGAGGTAGTCTGTAGATCATTAACTGCTTTCTAGCTTCACTCAGAACAAGGGGTTTTGGATTGGATTTTCGTCGTTTGCCTATATGGTTTAGGAAGGTATAAGACATAGGTTGTGAGGAGTCTCATTTTTTCCCAGCTATGGCAGAGACAATGATTTGCCACTCAATATGCATTCTCCTTATTTCTCAGTATTTGAACCACAATTTTATTGGGGACAGCAATGTGACTCTCTGTAAGACTGCATTTCCCAGGCTCACATGCCCGCGTGGTGTAGTCATGGAAGTTCTAGCAGAGATTAAAGCAATGATTGTTTGGCTCTTTTGGGATGGCTGCTTAAAGAAGGCTGACTTAGTTGTAAGGTGCATCCTTTGTCCTTCCCACTGTTTGCAACTACTGCAATTCCTCTTGGACCATGCGCTAACCTTGAGGATGGCAGCCTTGAACTAGGGCAGTAAAGCTGAAAGATGGAAGGAGCTTGGGTCTCCGATGACCATGCAGCCACCATGCCAACCCTGAATATCCTTCAGGCTTCTTTTATATAAAGAAAAAAAAATTATATCTCATTTTAAGTCATTATTATTTGAGTTGACTTACAAGCAACCAAACCTAATCCTCATACACCCACTTTCAAACTTTTGCCATCAGCAGTTTCTAAAACTGGTATGGGTTTAGGATGGTACACTCCTGATGTCATGGATTTATTAATGGAATATAATGGAAGGTCACAGCAACCACGTGCACATAGATGCATATGTTAGGGTTCTATGCCTTTACGTATGGGCTTATCACTTAAATTGTGATGTACCATAACATAACTTAAAAAGCTTTTTGTTTTCTTCAGAGAGGCCTAATTCTGTTGCCTGTTCACAGCTGATTGTATGCTATTGGATAAGATATTCAAAACTCTGAACCTCAGTTTTCTCTCCTGTAAAATGGGGAATAATGCACATATTTCAGGTTTGGGAAAAAGGTAGAAGGACACAGGATTACTAAAGGACAAAGTATTTAAACAGATTTTTTTTCAGCAGATTTGCTTGTGGCATATACAAATATTTAGAAAAGAAACTTGGGTTTTATATTTTTATGCTGTACCTATGTTTCTTGGATAAAAACATACTGCTGGACATGCAGGACAAGGCTGAAAGGCCAGACTTGGCCAGACTTACCCAGTCCAAAGCAGAACCAGTGCTCAGACTCCCGATTTTGTTTCTAAAACTATTGAATTGTATGGGAAATGCATTTCTAAATTCCAGCAAATATACAATGGAAATAAAGTTCTCAATTTCCAACAGAAGCCTTCTCTATAACCACTTACTGATGACTGCTTTGTTATTATGTTAATTAAATCGGTGAATGGATGGGAATGTAAAATTAGTTAGTGGTGCCTGCTAATTGTCTTTGAGTTGTTGATATCCTGGTCTCAGTGTCTGAAGAGCTCGGCATCTGATCCCAAGTCCTGTCTGTACCATTCGTACAAGGTAGCAGATTACAGCCAGATGACGTATCACAGAGCTTTCTGTGACAATGGGATGTGGAGCTGTTGCTTCTCATGATAGACTGCAGTAGCATGAGCGTGTCATAGCTTTTACTAGGGCTAGCAGGTATGATATGTGGGGGCATGAACAGAAAGAGAATTCAGAGAGGTCCCTGGCCTTATTTTACATTCCTTTTCACCAGCAGATTCTGACAACTATTGCAGCTCTGCCTGGGAACCCTGGCAGTGACTGCCACTCTCAGCAGAGGGAGTATGTGAGCTAAGATGAAGACAATATAGAATCCGGCTTTGTTTCCCTAAAATGAAATTCACAAAGAAAAAGAAATTACTGATTCAATAGAGATTGATCAGTTCTGTCTCCATTTGATTAAGCTGGCCACACAGGGAGGTAGGAGACTGATAGTTTTGAAACTTCACAAGCAGCAATCAATGCATCTCATCCCTTCACCATAGCCTTCCTTCTTTCTATTATTTGAACTTGCCTAGAGAAATCCTAAGAAATTGTCACCTCTGGCAACCAGAAAAACAATCCTTTCTTGCAAAAATAAATAAAAGTACTTCTTGCCTAATCTATCATGTCTGAGAGGGATGGAGTTAAAGCTGTTAAGGTACTTCTGTTCCTTACAAGTAAGAAGCTTTATGAACCACTATTTAAACAAACAAACAGATCTTGCTCTTACAATTTAAGTCACTGCCTTTATATCTCAATATGGAACAGGACTGGTGAGTCTACAGTTAACCAAGTACAGCATTTCAAATTTTGTTTTAAAATGGCAAAATAATATCAAGTATGGCTTTTCATTTTTGTCCTGATTCTTCAGAGAGAACAGGTTTCCCACAACTTATATTTTAAAATACCATATGCAAATATATTAAGAAGATTAATATATTTTTGTTTTTGTTCCCAAAACTGTAGTCCAAACTATTATATGGCTGCAGATTGATTTCTAGATCTCTGCACAATCCACTAATTTTAGTTTCCAAATCTTTATATGCCAAAAAATCCACACATGAGCTTCCAAGTATTTGCTCTGCATTTCCTCTGTACATGCTGGGTCAGCAAAAGCATTAAGTGTTAGTGTGGCAAGATGCCCACAGAACCATATGGAAAGAGTTCCACTTTAAAATTAAAGCCATGAGAGAGAAATACTTCCTTACGACCCCCTCCGAGATTCCAACCTTTCAGGCATGTGAAGAAACAAACAAATGGAGAAGGTAACTATGAAGCTGCCATGGAGCAAGGCACCTATGACTTGCTTTCTTGTTCTCATTGAACCGATCTTGAGCATCACTTCTGGCAGATTTAAATCTACAAATTCAGTAAAAAAGTACACTTTTCTGACACCATAGCCCTCAAACAGGCTATGCTACCTGAATTTAGATTAAATAAAAACTGTCAGACTCTATATTAATCAGTTTTTAGCAGGACCCCCGTAGCACTATGAAGCTAAGTACTCACATTCTTAGAGACCCCATTTCAGGATCCACACTTTCAAATGCTTCCTAAGATAACAACTAATGTCAATCACAGCAGGAGTAAAAGGAAGCACAACTCCTAGGTTTCGTTTTTTTGTTTGTTTTTTTTTTGTGAGGAAGATTAGCTCTGAGCTAACATCTGCTGCCAATCCTCCTCTTTTTGCTGAGGAAGATTGGCCCTGGGCTAATATCCGTGCCTGTCTTCCTCTACTTTTTATATGTGGGACGCCTGCCACAGCATGGCTTGATAAGCGGTGCATAGGTCTGTGCCCGGGATCCGAACCTGCGAGAACCCAGGGCCGTCGAAGCGGAGTGTGCAAACTTAACCACTATGCCACCGGGCCAGCCCCATGTTTTGTTTTTTAATATATAATGTCCATATGCTTGTTTTCAGTAAAATGGGAGAAAGAAATCTTTAAAAGATGCTTTAGAACCACTCAATACTATCAGTACTAATTTTGACTGAAGAGGAAAAAACAAGCACCTTCAACTGACATTCCAGTTGCACACCTCCCCCCTCTCCGGCACTCACTGTTACACTGGTCACAAGCGTAGATTCTCCCTTCCAGGGCCTCTGTCTCTGTGAACTTGGCCAGCATCTCAGTGAGCAGGCACTCTGTCTGATTCAAAGGGACAAACCCCTTTTCTATGCAGTGATAGCGTTCAGGGAATTCCAGGGACAGATCCCAAAAGGGCTCAATGGTATTGGATTTGTAATTGCATGATATACATGTGACCTAGAATGAAAAGATTGATTTAACAGGTTATGTAACTTCCATGCTTACCACATACATTTTTCCTCACTTTATACAAGACAAATAACTTGAACAAAACTAAGTGTATAGTTTTCAAAAAAAACTTAATTGTAATACTAAAATAATAAACATAACTTTAAGAGAATTAGAGCATATTAATTCTGGCATGTATTTCTAACTGTGATGCTAGCTGGAACTGGAAAACCATGCAGCACAGAGATTATTACCTACCTCTTTCTCTCTTCTCTCCCAAAGCATGCAATACCACTCAATGCTACAGGAGTACAGACTGCAAGTTACCGTGGAATCCGTCTGAAATGGAGAATTTGCAGATTCCTGTCTGCTTCTCTCACCCTCACACTCCATCCTCCTCCAGACTTTGCTCCTTCCATCCAGTCCAACTTGCCTCTTTTTGCCCTTGTTCCTTGGGCACCCTACACTGATCCCTGGGTTCACAGAGCCTCAAAGTACCTTAAGACTAGACCTCCTCTCCCACTATAACCTTCCCAGATGCTCCTTTCTTCCCATGGACCCTCGGGGTAGAGGAAGTGCCCAGAAATACTTCCCTTTTACACGCTAAAAAACAAAAGCCTAAATAAACTTGCTCTTCCCATCCTACTCATCATTCTTTTAAAATCCTAAATACTGAGACACAAAACCTAAACCTCAGTAGCATAATACAGAGGTTTTACCTGAATCTCTCTTTCTTTTTTTTTTGTGAGGAAGATCAGCACTGAGCTAACATCCAGGCTAATCCTCCTTTTTGCTGAGGAACACCAGCTCTGAGCTAACATCTATTGCCAATCCTCCTCCTTTTTTCCCCCAAAGCCCCAGGAGATAGTTGTATGTCATAGTTGCACACCCTTCTAGTTGCTGTATGTGGGACGCGGCCTCAGCATGGCTGGAGAAGCGGTGCGTCGGTGCGCGCCCGCGATCCGAACCCGGGCCGCCAGCAGCGGAGCGCACACACAACCGCTAAGCCACGGGGCCGGCCCTTACCTGAATCTCTTAAGTTGCCCCCCTTTTTAACTCTAAAAATTCTCTTTCTACATGTTCTCACAAAGCCTTATTTATGAGACTTTGCTTATGTCTCTACATGGCTAAAAACCCAGGAAATGAAAGGTAATGGGGAGCATGAGGGAAGCTTGCTTAGGCCCTTGGCATCCTCCTAGCCACCTCCCTTCCTTGTATGTAACAAATGCCTAGGAAGGAAGAATACTCTTTCAAACTACCATGGAACCAGGGTTACAGGCAAACTTGAATTTCCTAAAATTGATCAAAGGATGGCATGCCAACAATGGGTACTTAATTGTAACAATGAGAATATTATATTACCCACAACGGCATTAAAGGTAAAGACATTCACTGAAAATGAAGCGATATGGCACGTTAAACTAAAAATCTGCCCGGAAAGACAGGAGGCAGGTTCACCAAAAAGGTCATCACAATGTACGCTACAATGAAAGGTACAATGGCCATCCTCAATTACTATTCATAATGACAGCAAATGCTGGCTACCGTAGTGAGTCCAACAACCAAGGGAGGCACTCACGGGAAGCCCCAACTCTAACATACAAGCCTCCCTCCAAGGTGGTGGGCAGAGTTGGGGTTAGGGTGGGCACACACCTACCTGACTGAGTAGCTGCCCGTGAAATATGGTATTCACCACCTTTAAGACCTGTTTGGTGAGCTTCCTCTGGGAGAAGGGGATGAGGATCCGGTGTGTGGTGCCCTCGGACTCGAGTTCCTGCTGCACTTTGTGCAACAGCTCGCAGAGAAACTCCTGCGCGTCCTGCTGGTCGTAGCCGCGGAAGGCGGGGATCAGGCTCCACACCGAGTGAAGCATGGCAAAGGGCGACACCAGGGCCCACTTCCCAGACCACATGACTCGGAAGAGGGTGTGCAGTTCGTGACAGAGGGAAATGTGCTTCGAGCTCGGCTCCTTGTTCTGGATGAGTTCTAGGCTCCTGCTGATGGAGGCCCCGCCGTTCAAGCAGAGGCCCTCCCGCTCGCACGACTCAGCCCTGTCGCTCCTCGGAGACAGCTCGGTGGCCGAGGTGCTGGCCGGCCGGCCCGCCAGTGGAGCCTTCCCGTTGGCGGTTTTGGGAAACAGGTGTTCCGTTTTGGAAGGGTCGAGGTTCAGAAAACACTCTCGGAACTTCTGGAGGTGGCTGAGCACCTGGAGGATGGAGTTCATGTAGCAGGTGTTGCCCAGGTTGCGCAGGCCCGTGACGCCCGGCGCCACCGCGGGCGCGCGGCGCGGCTTGAGACGGCCCCCGGCGG